AGGAACATTTAGGAACATTTGCAATGTTCTAAAATCTCAAAATGCTTTGATAATGTTTTGACCAGATACTTTGGCAGAACTTCAGTTGCATTTTATATCTTGAAATGATTTTCTTTGTGTCCCTGAATAATTTGTTCTCTAAAAGTGTCAAGATGGTTTTTATTGACAAGAGTTTCTCTGCTGAATGGAAGTAGAAACCGTTGCCGTCTGATGTGGTTTTTACAGAGAGCTGGTCTTGATTGCCTGCTGCTATCACCACGACTGTCTCAAAAGAACAAACGCAGAATGATCCAAGTGCTTTTGACTGTGGGCTTTTTCTGATGACATGGTTTTGTTGAGTAATGCTTTGACAGTTTTGAAAGAAATCAGGGAATTAAAAAATGAAATCAGGGGGTTTGTTTTTCCTGATCTCTCTCTCATTTTTTTTAGCCTACTTCACTGGCCATGCAAGAAAAGTTTTTCATCATACTTTCATCATACTTTTATTTGTAATAATTCCTGCTTATACATCCATAAAATTAATTGGGCTAGTATTATTATTGAAGATACTATACATATATATCAAACAGGTAAAATATGATTTGTCATCTACACAGAGGACAGATGAGTCAGTATCATCTGCATCTAGTTGTGTCATCTAAAAGATGACGAAAGACATGTTCAGAAAACCCTCTAATGAACCTGAGATCAAAAACGTTGTGTGCTTTAGGTTCTTTCCAATACCTCATTGATGCAATAAACAGACAGAGAATAATAAATGAACCATGAAAACAAAATAACAAGATGTGTGTGTGAGCTCCTCATTAAAGCTCACTCTCATCTCTGCATTTTTTGTTTGACTTTTAACAAAAGAAGAACTTCTATGTCTGTCTTCTTTCATTTTCTTTTTGTTTCTCTTTCTTTCCCCCTTTCCCTGTCTCTCTGTTCTGCTTTCAATCTCATTTTTATGAATGAATGATTCATTTATATAGCGATTTCATTGTACACGCCAAAGTGCTTTACAATCATATGAGGGGGATTTTTATCAGTTTTAGTGTGATTTCTTGCCCTGCCTGTATATTTGTACTGTACTGTACTGTGTGCATATGAGATGTAATTATATTATAATTAATTATATATTATAAATACATCAAAGATGCATAAACAATATATTAGTGCAAAATGAAAAATAAATAAAACTGGAGTAAAATAAAAATGTGCAGTGCAGAGTAAACCAAGAAAGTGGCAATTGACAAATTTAACAACAATAAAAATAAATAAATAAAATAAAGTAATATAAAACTTAACATTTAACAATGACAGACTAAAGATTAAGAATAAGAATTATTAAAAATTATTTTATAATTAGAACATATTGATGAGCCCTATAGGGCTTAAATCTACTGTTTTACTTTCAAACATATTGGTGATCATTTGTTTTGCGTGGATATATTCATACATTCATTATTCATTATTTTTGCCATGTTGAATAAGCAGAAGGCTGTTTAATGACCAATTTAAAAGTTCCAACATGCGACAATTATACAAGAATGTCAGTGTAGCGCTGCTCGAACTCAAAGACGACGAACAGTTGGATCCAAACACAAATAAGGTTTATTTAAGACATTAAAGAACTGATAAACAAAGTAACAGACACTATAGGGAACTCCAGGAACTAATAAATAAAACAAGTAAGCACACCAACATAACAGCCTAGGCAGGACAAAACCTGGCAATAAACACAGACAGACACAAGTGCTTAAATACACAGGGAATAACAAGACTAAATAGACACAGGTGTGAATCATCAGGGAGAAACAATGGGAACCAAAAGAACTACAAATCTAGAAAAAGGAAACAGGAACAAAACAGGGCAAAATGTAAACTAAACATAAAAGTCCAGATGGGAGACATGACAGTTGGAGACAGTGAAAGTCATCTTAATTTTAGTGAACTTGTAGCAGACAGACACATACTGTGCTGCTATAAAGCAGAAGTGCTTGCATTCATTGTTTGTTAATTTATCAAACATCTTGTGTATCAATTTAATTTAGTGATAAATCTCATCCGGGTATCTTGATTTTGCTTTGATCACACTGGAACCGTGCTTTTTGCTGTTCAGCAGTTTCAATTCCGAGGTTATGTCCACTCTCTCTTTCTCACAGTCTCTGTAATTGATGATCACATTCCATGAACAGTGACTGTGAATAAGTATGGCAGCAGACCAGAGGCTTTAATTGGGAATGCCTGGTCTTGTCTGGTCTAGCGGCATCAAAAGGCCTGGAAAAAAAACAAAAAAATTACACAAGCCCACAGCACCTTTCTGATCAAGTGCACATCACATGTTATCAGTGATGAAGATTCCATTTCATGCTATAAGAAGACATTAAAGGGGTAGTTCACTCAAATTGTAACATTTTTTCTGTGGAGTACCACAGAGTTTTTGACAGAAATGGTTAAAGAAGATGGAGCAAAGAGCAGCAGACTGACAGCAGCTAACGAGTGATACGGACAACAGATGAGTAGTGTGATGAATGCTGAATGAAAGATGAAAAGATGCCGTGTAATCTGGGACTGACAGACTTGGAGTGGATAGATAGTGTGAGTGTTTCCGCATGTGTTTGCGTTTGCATGTGAGTGTATATTCAAAGTCTAGGACAGACAGCAATTTTCAGTGACAATGATCTCTGCCCTCCTCATTATCTTTCTTTTTCTTTTCTCCTTGAGTCCTTCTCTCACATTGAAATGCACGACATGCATTTGTGTCTCCTAACCAAGTGTTTTCACCAGGTGTTGATTCGTCATGCTTGGGTGTGCTGGCTAAATGTGGCACTGGAGGCAAGTGAGACAGGAGACAGAGCTCCTTCATAATGCAATAAAAATTAAGGTTACACTTTATTTCGATAATCCACTTTAGACATTCTACTAACTATAAGTAACTTTGTAACTACATGTCAACTACATGTCAACTAATTCTCATTAATTTGCATCTACATGTCTACTAACTCTCAGAGTAGACTGTTAGGGTAGGTTTAGGGTTAGTAGAATAAGTTGACAAAGAAAGTGTTAGAAGATATTAAGCAGACAGTCTACTAATACTCTACTAACTGCTAGTTGACATGTAGTTGCAAAGTTACTTACTGTTAATAGAATGTCTAAAGTGGACTATCGAAATAAAGTGATACCAAAATTAAAGAGTGCTGTTAGAGGGTCACAACCTTCCTTTTCATATAAATGTGACATTGAATTTGCAGAAAGGTCCTGCTTAGTATTCAGTGTGTGTGTGTGTGTATGGGAGTTGGGCAGCAGCCAGTGGTCTTCATAAGGAAAATGGCTTTATGAACATACTAAATAATGATGTAATGAAAATCTAAATTAAGGATTCTGCTAGGGTTAGGTTTAGGAAATAGAAAATATCACTGACTTGTGTGTGTTTGGGTTTTAAATACATTGTGGGGTCCAAATGATCTCATCTTGAATGATGTTGTCCGATATTAAAATGAGTTAATTTAGTCACAGCATTATAATATACAGTATGAAAAATAGATTGATTTTAAGATCAGCTCAGTGTTAAGAATTATTTATACAATTATCGTATTTATATTTTTATTAACTTTTATTTTTATATTTTCTGTTTTAATTTAAATTCTGTTTAAATTGTAATAATTGATTAAATATTTTAGTAAATTATGTCTATTTAGCTTTTTATTTCAGGTTTATTAATTTTAGTGCTATAGCTTAAACTTAATTGATTTGAATTTCTACCATTTCTAACTTTTTTTTTTTTTTTCAACTTTATGGCCAGCCCAGCAGTCTGTGGTCTGAAAATGGCTTTATGATACTAAATAATTATATTAAAATCCAAATTAAGATTTCTGTTAGGTTTAGGTTTGGGAAATATCCAAAAAATCCCTAACTGCATTAGTGTAAGCATTTAGGTTTTAGGTCCAAACGATCCTTGGACAGTAAAACAAAGGCTCAAAGAAGCCAGTGTGAGATGACTTTTGTCCGCCATCTAGTGGATTAAATAGACAATGCATTTGCTTTGTCGTGTCATTTGACAGGTATTTGACATTTATTGCTTAAAACTAATATTTATTTTTATTTTTCAGTTACGTTATCCAATAGTGATTAGTATCTTTTTCAATTTCAGTAGTAACTAATTATTTTGACGAATTAGACTAGAGACTAATATTTACTCCATAATATTCGTTTAATTACTAGTACTTGTTCATTCGATATTAGTGTTTTTTTTTTCTTTGCTACTAGCATTGTTAAATGATTAGGCCTACATTGCTATTTTAATCACTGGAATCAGTTTCTGTTTTTAGAAGCAAGTGGCTATTAGGAATAGTTGAATAGTTACTGGTAACTAAAGAATAGACCTGCATGGTAATATTGTGCTATCGTACTAGTAAATTAAAATGTAAAAATAATAATTTGTCACCACAGAAGTCACTTTCAATCCGCGTGACCTTGAATAGGCTATATTGTGAAATCTGCGTGGGAAAATCTTCAGGTCTTCCACGAAATTCCTGATCTCATTGGATTAATGACTGAATTTCACTCACAAAAATTCACCCAACACTGGTAAACGTCACACAGAAACAATGGAAAAATTATTTGTCACTAATGGAATAGTGACTAGCAGTAAAATAACAATTAGCCCATTTGTATCAACTTGTAGCTACCAATCACTATTGTATTTCTAGTATTAAAAACCATACTGCTGGTAGCATAAAAATAAACACTAATAGTAATCAGGTGAAAGCAGCTGTTTAAAAACACGACTTGCCTTCGCGTTCATGGGGGAAAAAACTACATTTCCCAGCAGTCTTAGCCCAACAGTGCCGTAAACGACACGCCCAGTCGCAAAGCTGAACGGTGACGTTTGCAAATCTGATGTTTGTGCTTTGTGGCTGTTTGCTGGAAACGCCACATTCTCAAACAACAAAACACAAGGTTTATTCAGAAGAAATGTCGACGTTAGGATATTAAAAAAGAAAATCCGGGACGCTTGACGGCTTGGCGTCACACCTGGCTTCCTTTTCCCACCAAACTTCTGGATTTGGACGCTTCTGACCCATGCAGTGGTGGAGCAACACATTCTTGGCGTGGCGGTGAACATTGCTACTGTGATGGTTGCTGGACGGCTTTTGGAGCCATTATGGGGAGCGCTGGAGCTGCTGATCTTCTTCGCTGTGGTAAACGTAGCAGCCGGTCTCCTATCTGGACTCTCTTATCTTCTCACCTACGCTGCCACCTTTGACCTGGACTATCTGTTTGCTGTGCGGGTGTATGGTGCACCCGCTTTTCTGGGGGGCATTCTTGTAGCACTGAAGCAGACTGCGGGAGACACAACAGTGCTTCGAGTTCCTCAAGTACGTTTGAAAGCCGCCCCGGCGCTAGCTTTACTAGCAATAGCTGTCCTGCGGCTAGCAGGGCTGCTGGACACTTCAGCTCCACTAGCAGCATGCGGGTACGGCGCTCTGTCCGGGTGGGTTTACCTGCGCTTCTACCAGAGGCACTCTAGGGGGCGTGGAGACATGTCAGACCACTTTGCCTTCGCCTCCTTCTTCCCAGAGGCACTCCAGCCGGCTGTTGGCTTTGCAGCTGGGCTTGTGCACGCTGCCCTTGTGAAGATAAAAGTTTGTCGTAAGATGGTGAAGCGATATGATGTCGGGGCTCCATCCTCCATCACCATCAGCCTACCAGGCACAGACCCACAAGATGCAGAAAGGCGGAGGTACGTTAATTTAATTAAGAGTGGCTGATATTTATTTTCATGGTCAAGTCAAGTTTATTTGTACAGCGCTTTTCACGATACAAATCATTGCAAAGCAACTTTACAGCAAATTAAGTTTCTACAATATTTAGTGGTAGCTTATCAGTGGTGACTGTCAATTAATGTACATATGGCAGAAATGTACGGAATGGTATGGTTTATATTAACATTTATATACTATTTCTTCTAATTAGAAATGAAAATTAATTGTTTAAATGCTACAAATAGGTTTAGGAATTAGTACAAATTTTTAATGTACAGTATGAAAAGTATGGTTATTTTTTATTTTACCTAGTTATTTTAATATTTGTATAGTGCATAGATACATCCGTTACGTTATATGAAAACTGAAAATATAAAAATTAAAGCATGTAACAAATCACTAAGACTTAAACTATAAATATATTATTTAGTGTTTTACTAATTTTGCTAAATGTATTTGTCATTTTTATTATTTTTTACTGTATCTATTGCCTTTCATTTGTTTTTATTTCAGTTTTAGTTATTTTAGTACTTCTAAAGTTTGTTTTTCATCTAATATTTATATTTTAATTTCAACTTTATTTAATTAATTGTTGAATACATTTAAAACAAATCTCTAATATCGACCAAGGACCAATATGGTACCGACATATTGTGCATTTCTAGAACTAATAAAGTAAGTAAATTTGACACCGACCAGTCTGATTGTTCTCAGTTTTGATGTATCCATGTCTGTTTATTGGCGAATAGCAGCATCAGTTCATTTTTTGGTGTTTCCCCACAGGCAACTTGCTTTGAAAGCTTTGAATGAGCGTCTGAAGCGTGTGGAAGACCAGTCGGCTTGGCCCAGCATGGAAGACGACGAGGAGGATGATGAAGATGAGGAGGTGCGAACAGACACTCCTCTCCTTTCCAGCCGAGAGACTTTGCCACCAGCACCCAGCACCACACAAAATCCTACGGGACAACAGGAGTCCAGCATCATAAGTTTTGAAGATGCTCCGACCCATTCCTAACACAAAAAGACACACACACAATCCTTGTTTTTGTCCTGCAGAGTTCAGTTTATCCTTACAATCACAAACGCTACTGGAGACATCTCGCACACACACACATTATCTTGGTAATGTTTTACATACACAAACGAGGAGTTGCCACTAAATGAACACATTACCTAAACTAAATGACAAAGACATCCATACTCAGTTTTTCAGCTGTACAAAAAAAACCCTGGACTAGTCTGTTTCATAGCATCTGCAGTGCTCCAGTACTTCTGCTTTGTAAAAACAAGAATATCTTCTCTCCCTCTTGCCTCTTGTGTCAGGTTTTTGGGAAGTATCCTTTTGAATAAATGCTCTAATGGTTTATGGGATTCAGTTTTTAAATGTATGGCAGACTCTACAAATGTTTATGGGTTGCCTCTTTTTTTTTTTTTTTTTTTTTTTTTTTTTTTTTGCGCATAGTATCAGAAAAAAGGCAAGATTCCTCATATTTATTGAGCAGAAGATGGGACTTTTTTGCTGTTTACTGATGTAACGGCATCAAAAGAATGTCTGGAACTTCAAGGGCAGGATTGCTAAAGATGAAGAATGTTTATGCAAAATTTGGGACTTTTCGAAGAATGCGTGATATCTAATTTAAGGTTCTGCTCTCATTGATAAGGATGTGGCCCTTTGATTTCCTGTTTTCAGTCATGATGATTTCATAGGTGGAGGCACAGTGAGGAGAGAGTCGGATACAGTCATTTCAAAGATATTTTGTTCAGAATAGTTTGAAATGATAATAGCAATACAGAATCTGATTCTGTCCCCTGTTGTACCCTTTTCCTCATCTGTACTTTAATGATCTGTCTATATGTGTTGGCTTTGATAAGAGTGTTGCACTCTAAATTATGAGCTTGCATAATGGACCTGTTTTTATAAAACACAGATTGTCTACACAACGTGGCTTGAGTTTCATTTAATGTTACAATTTTTGATTAGGGTTCCTGAAATTTACACTAATATTTGTAACCCTTTTTCTTTGGGGTTTTTACTAGTAATTGTTGATCTGTTTTCTCATGGTTCCTATAGGTGTCAGCCTTGATGTTTCTAGCGCAGACTTATTCTCTGATTCAGGTTTCAGCCTAATTTTCTGATCTCTCTCCATCTATAATAAAGACTGAATGAAGAGCACACCTGTCCCAGAGGACCTTATTGATTCGAAACAATCGATCAGTGCTTTGTTATTCATATTATTAGTTAGTGTTTATAACTGTGTGCATGTACTGTATATACCATTCATTGGAGTCTGTATGATTTTTGTTTTTGATAGAAGTCTTATGCTCAGCAAGGCTGCATTTAATTGATCCAAATACAGTAAAAACAGTAATATTGTTAAGTTTTATATTTTAATATACTTATAATTCATTCCTCTGATGGGAAAGCTGAATTTTCTGCAGTTATTGAGTCTTCAGTGTCACATGATCCTTCAGAAATCATTCTAATATGCTGATTTTTGCTGCTTGAGAAACATTTTTTATTATTGCCAATTTTAAAAACAGTTGTGCTGATTAATATTTTTTGTGGAAACTGGTAAATTTTTTACAGGATTCTTTGATGAATATAAAAATTGAAAGAAAAAACACTATTGTATAAATGTATGAAAATAACAAATTTACATTAACAAAGGCTCTGCATGAGCTTTACCATGTTAGGCAAAAGACAGTCTCAAGTGGTTTTACAGACGTTTTATACAGAAAGTTCTTGTTTCATGAATGAAGGTTCGTTAAGCCCAAAACTTTCATGACTTCCATGAGGATATGAGAATATTAGTTTAGGAGGTGCTGATAAACATATTCATCTTCAGGTGTGTTACCCAGGCCCTCAGCATGCACAGAATCTCATTATAATGCATATTGTGTTTTTGATTTAGGTTGACATGTTGAAGTTAGGGTGAAAATCTCCTACATGGATGATAAAACCACTAGCTGATCTTTAGTGTCAAGGCTTTGATAAGAAGTGGAACTAGCCACAATATATCCCCCACCCAGTGTTCGAACTATACCGTGGACTTTGGGGGAGCCCACTTGGGGTGTTCGTGCGCTTGCGCGTGCCTCAAAAGAAGGCTTACAATGACTTACAAAGATACATAACAGCTACAAGTGTATGCACTACTTGCTTTATGCAAGCACAGGGGTGGAGATGGGTGGGTTTAGGGATCAGGGGGTGGAGACGGGTAGGTTTAGGTATATGTAAGGTGGGAGGGGTTGGTCTGGCCCCCACCCTCGCCCCCTGGATCTTGTGTTCTGCAGTGAGGACCATCTCCCCAAAATGGCAATTCTGTCATTTACTCACCCTGAACCACTCAGCCATATAACTAACTGCAGCACACAATGAGATGTTAGGCAAAAGACAGTCTCAGTCACCATTCGCTTTTGTTATATGAAACAAAAAGTGCAATAAAAGTGGATAGTGACTGAGGCGGTCGTTCTGATTTTTTTGTGTTCCACAGAAACTCGTACAGGTTTGGAACAACATGATGGTAAGTAAATAATGAAAAATGTCATTATTGAGTTAAATATTCTTATATCCGGTGGGTTTGTTTGTAGACAAAAGACCTTGTAATGAGGCACAGTTGCCGATAGATGGCGCATCAAACACGCATTATCATCGTCTGTTCTTCTCATTCAAGCTCATTCAGCTTGAGGGAAGTCCTATGCTCAGTTTCGTTTCTACATGCTCTCTTAATTGTTGCTTCCTAAAACAAGTCTACTGACATTTGATGCTGATTACATTTCAAGCAATATATTTCGATTTTTAGAGTTTCCTTTTCCAAAGAAACTTCATTCAACGGTATGCTTATACAGTTAGGGGTTGTTTTAAACTGGAAAAAGTTGTACGTTGGTTAGATAATAGTCCCATTTTGCTCCATGAACGACACATTTTTAGTTTTTAACTTCATATATAACACAAAACGGCCTTGTTAGGGTGGTCCGTCTCTCATAACGACTCATTCATCCACCGCCAAATAAACTCTCTTCAACGTGCTCGCGCAGGCGTGGCTCGAGCTCGTGCACGCAATCCCTTCCCCCTTCTGAATGCCCGCGCTCTGCGCGTACTCGCCAACGGTTTATTGTATCGGATAGAAGAGGCGACGGAGCTCCACCGTTGATATAAAACAAAACGGCTAACGTTAGCCATCTAAACTGCAAGTAAGGTTACTTTTTCTTCTCGTCTTTGTGTTTATGCAGATATTATAAACTTTATAAGCTCAATTCGCTGCGGACTGGTTGTTTTAAAACTACTTTTTAGATATAGTGGAAAGGTAAGAGCTCAGCGACTGACCATTCGCCGCTTCCGCGAGCAACCGCCGGCCGGGAAAAGCAGTTTACCCTCGGCGTCCAGATTTTAAAAACCGTTTAAAGATATATCCAGGTATTTAGGCATAATAACGAACTTTACAATGTGTGGTGAAAGCTGTAAAGTTCACATACAAGTGTTTCTACGTGAATATATTCGATATTACCGGTAACAGTTATATATGTGGTGGAAGCTGTTTGTCTTTGTTGATTTAAAGCGGTGAGCTAAAACTCGACCCAGACACGCGCATAATCTCAGATTTAGATGTAACTGGAGGATTATTGATTTTATTTACCTATAACTGACATTGTTCTTGAGTGATTTTCAACATTTGTTTAAATAAATAAGATTAGTAATCTAAAATAAGCAGAGGATTCATAAACTGTGATTAATGCAAATCTTTGAGATTATAATCTAATTAATGTGTGTTTTACTAACCTTTGTGATTGGTCGTATTCTTGAACATTTGAAATGTATAAGTTTTTCTAAGATAATCTTTGGCATTGTTTTGTTTGGTAACACAAATAACTTTATATCTTTATTCTGGTCCTTTCCCATAATTTGCTATAGTTCAGTCTTACATAATGTAGTGTATTATTGTAGTGTTGCTTTAAACAGTATTTAGTTGTGTTCAAGTGAGATATAATTATGTATTATATGTCATACAAACAAATTTTTCATTGGAAACAACAGTACAGGCAGTCGAACACAATGACAAATTTGTTCAGTTAGCTATGATATTGTAACAAGTCTTGAGTGACCGATAGAAGTAATGTTCCTATTAATATGGGTCTATAATCCCATACAGTGGTTTGAAACTCCCATTGGGTTTTATTTACAATTTCCTTGACCGCATGAGTGGGAGACATTTTAGAGCAAATCTTTCATAAATCAGTTTATGAATGTACATTGTCAAGTGGTTTTACAGACATTTTATACAGAAAGTTCTTGTTTCATTAATGAAGGTTCATTAAACCTACAGGTGCCATCCAGACTAATCTGTATCACTTTGAATAATTCACAAACCTTACTGTTGCCACGCAGTTATCAGGAGGTCCCAGAAGTCATGTGCCCACATGCTACCCAATGAATTTTGACTGTTTGACATCCATGTGGATATGAGAATATTAGATTAGGAGGTGCTGATAAACATCAGATTCATCTTCAGGTGTTCCCCAGGCCCTCAGCCTGCACAGCAACTCATTATAATGCATATTGTGTTTCGTTTTAGGTAGACATGTTGAAGCTGGGGTGAAAATCTCCCACATGAATGTACGTTTTAATATAGTGGGACATATGGAAGATAGAACCACTAGTTGATCTTTAGTGCAGAGGCTTTGTCTCTTCTGCTGGTTTTCAGACTTTGATCTTTAGCTTTGCTGCTCTGTGTGTGTCAGTGTTTAATCTACTGTCCATCAGAGCCACTCTCATTGCCACGGGCCTGTTCATCAATAATGTGGGCTCTGCTCTGTAGCTGCCAGCTTTATCTTGGCCACTGGGGTGCAGCTTGCACTTCAAAGACATCTGCCCCAGTTAACAGACACTTCCAGATCTGCCTCTATTTAAACGGCTGTTCTGGATCAGAAAATGAAGTGCTGTGTCATGTTGATGCGATCGGATGGGTTGGTTCTGCTGTGGTCATGTTGAAATGACTTTGTTGAAGGCTTGTCGGATGTCACCGTTGGCTGTGATGAGTCAACTGAGGACTCTGAACCCTGTGTGGCTTTGATTACTGGGCCTAAGGGATGGTTTGGTGTGTATTTACAGTACTTTATAATGGTAGAGGACTACCACGAATGGCTCCATTCATATTAGAGTTTGTATTTTGCAGGAAGTGACAATGAAAAATGAAGTATCCCAACATTATATAGCCATGGCAATTATTCCGGTTGCTGCTGCAAAGGTGACTGGTAGCGCAGTGCTGCAGTGTTTAACTGTGTATGTGTATGTCTTTTGTAGGTATGGCAGCGATTCGCAAGAAGCTGGTGATTGTAGGAGATGGAGCGTGCGGTAAAACCTGTTTGCTTATCGTGTTCAGTAAAGACCAGTTTCCTGAAGTCTATGTCCCCACGGTGTTTGAGAACTATGTCGCCGACATTGAGGTTGACAGCAAACAGGTGAGCACAACACACTTGAGAAATACAATGTGCATAAATATCATTGTTTCTAATTGTGTCACTCACTGAGGTGATTTTATGCTGATTATAAAACAATGACTTGTTAAATTCAGATGCTCAATAAAGTTTGGCTCATTTAAGGTCAAATTATTAGCTATTGGAGGACCATGTGTTCACATGTAAACCCCAAAACCCAGTTTAATAGGCTAAGTAAGTCCTTGCCTGTCAGCTGGAGCTCTTGGAAGTGGCTTTAATGTGAAAATATTGACCTGATTCACTTTCCTTATTTAGCTTAACATGCTGATGGCACCTCCATCTGTCCTTTTTGTGGTGGAAGTCCATTTTAATGGTTTGGGATGTTCTGAATGTGCGTTTGAGCTCAGTGTGTCTCTTTATCCAATAGGTGGAACTTGCTCTCTGGGATACCGCAGGACAGGAGGACTACGATAGGCTCCGCCCTCTTTCGTACCCAGACACTGATGTCATTCTTATGTGCTTCTCTGTTGACAGTCCTGACAGTTTAGGTAAGGATACTCTCTTTGGTCTATTGTTTTGTGTACCTTTCTCACATGCGCATGTTGTAATTACATTATCTTTCCTTTTTCTAATGAAACTGACCTCCGGTCGGTGTTAAACTCCAGTATTGACCTTTGATCTCTGACATCTGTGTAGAGAATATTCCAGAGAAGTGGACACCTGAGGTGAAGCACTTTTGTCCAAACGTTCCCATCATCCTCGTCGGCAACAAAAAGGACTTGCGGAATGATGAACACACACGCAGGGAGCTGACTAAGATGAAGCAGGTAAACATATACAGAGTATTTGCACAGAAAATACATTACTGTACTCTTCAACTGGATGTTTTTAAGATAATTGGTTGTTAAGTTTTTCTTGTTTCAATAAACGTAGAGTATTTGACAAAATCAAGACACAAATAATGTGAACTGACAGCATATTTTGTGTTGACTGTCCAATAGGAGCCTGTTAAGGCAGAGGAAGGAAGAGACATGGCCAATCGAATTGGTGCATTTGGTTACATGGAGTGCTCAGCCAAAACAAAAGATGGCGTTCGGGAGGTGTTTGAAATGGCCACTAGAGCGGCGCTGCAGGCACGCAGGGGAAAGAAGAGCAACAAATGCAGTCTTCTGTGAATACTCGCCATTGGATTCTGTGCCTGTACTGGGGCTCAAAAAGAGTGTGTGTGAGGGGCACTCAT